GTGTTGGGGAGAATGTGGAAGGCTCAAATTTGAGGGTGGCGAGCAAGAAAAAAGTTTCAGAGAGAACTAATTCTGGAACTAATTTCCGGAATGAGTTCAAAGGCTTGGAGAGAGGAATCCTACAAGTGTTTCCCCATGAGTTATGGGGCCGCACTGTTTATGAAAGGTCATGTGTCTCTATGCTCGATGGCTAACGAAGGCTGGCATGCTGGATCACCCACTATCCCAGAATGGCACGGACTCACCCACCCAGGGCTTGAGCCTCTTCTACAACTGTCTCACTGGTCATCGAGGCTACCCGAGGACATTTTCAGCGACTGGACACTCATCGACTTCTCGGAGAAGTCCATTCCGCCTTTCGCAGAAATCTCTCCCCTCCACGGAGCCCAAATTGGCCTCCTTATAACTGCCACCGGTCAGTCCTTGTTCTAATCTCCAAGTCTTTACAGAGTGGAAGTTCCTTTGCAGTTTAGAGAAGATCGGTCACGTGCCGTGAAGGCATCGTGCCTCACGACTCAGAGGTCTCAGTGTGCACCCACTGTCCACTTGTCCTGTGCCTTCTCCTCCCTATTCCTGCTCCAGCTGGCCCCTGACGGACTTCCAACTCTAGCAGCTGGTAGCTGACCCCTACAACCACTTATGGGGGGGTTTGCTCCGGCGTGAATCAGCCCTGCGGCACTGGTTAAATAGCCCAGGTTTTCAGGGGGGCGACCGCAAGTAGGCTTCTTCACTTCTAATGGGCACGCTCGGGATAAGGCCCAGAGAGAACATTCTAGAATAAACTCTTTTGGAAAGTATTTTCACATCGTCGTGTTTCTAGGAAAGCATTAATGATCAACCTGAGAGCCCTAGTTCTGCCCAGTCCCTTTGCCTAGTTCTCCCACGACACCGTTCTAGAAGACCCACAGGAACAATTGACATCTGCGGGGACAAAACCATTGGAAGAGGGGCCTTGTCCCCCTCAGCTGAGGGTGGGGACAGAATGGAGCACAGTGGCGGCTCCTACCCGTCTGCCCCCCGCTGCACAAACCTTAAAGGCATGCTCCAAACCGGGGGCATCATCGAAGGCTTGAATGAAGATGGTCCCCAGCCCTCGGTCAAGATCTTCTACTCTCTGGCGAAATTCGGACACGTCATTTTCGAATTCCTGTAGAGACATCACGTGGACGTAGGACGAACGTGAGCTCCTCAAGGCCAATCCCACTATGCTCTTTACCACCACCTATGTGCTTGAATTGGCTACACCCAGGACTTAAATTTTAAGTTTCTAAAATTCACCCTGGCATGGCTTTGTTTCTATCCATGCAGTGACCCTATTACTGCAGTATTGTTTTCCCGGATGCCACTTTCCTGGTAAATTGAGTCCGGTGTGAGCTTGGCTCCTTGTCACCCCCTTTTGGGGCCCCTCTCCCACCTTCTGAAGTCCCTTCTCTCACCCCCAGTGCTAGCTCATGTCACCCCAGAAGCCACCTCGGCGCCAACAGCCCCGGCAGTAAGGCTATTCTATCATTACCTCCTACCTTCCTTCCTGCCCCAAGTCAAAATCCTCCCAAATACTGTATTTTGTCAGACAGCCCCAAGGGTGTTCTCTTTCTTAGAGCGTAGCCATTGTCAAAGAAACTTTCATTTGTGGAATCATTATTACCTGTTATTATCGCTTTCCAACACTGATGCATCGCCTTACAAAAAGACAAAGGAAACCAGAACAGCATAGTGTTTTTCGACTTCCCAAACCCAAGCACATTAATACTAGTATGTTTCCTTGTGTGTAGGATTTGGTGTGTTTTCAGATTATCACTTTGTAGCAAATACACAGTATATATCCTGTTTTGTCATATGCCACCGCCCCCCCCCCTTTTTTTTTTCCACCTGAGACTCATGGAATTTTTAGAAATTTTTAGAACTTCTGGGTTTGGCCAGCTAATCACCCAAGGTCTGGAGGTGCTCAGAGTAGATTTCTGCTCAATTTCTTTCTCCACTTCCGCTGGTATATTCTTGTGATTCCTTCTCCCCTAATTCAGCCCCTCCTAATAGGCATGCCATTCCCTCCTTCTGTACTGACCCTTCTGCTTTCTTGTTTTGTTTTGTTTTGTTTTGTTTTGTTTTGTTTTGTTTTGTTTTGTTTTGTTTTTCCTGATGCAGGCTTGGACCCACAGGTCCAGAATCCTGGGCTACAGGTGACATGTGGGATCCTAGAAACTGCAACTCTGGCCCTTTCCTCTGCCTGAAGACTCCCTGGGGGACCAGGGTCAGCTCAGAACAACTCAGCCTCAGCCTGTTTCACTTCCCCCTCCCCAAGCCACTAATGAAATTCTGCCCGGGTGCGCCTGGCCTCCGCGGAGCTCGAAGCTGAAAGCTTTGCACACGGCCCCCCACCATCAACCCGTACACATCTCAGCATCTCTGGAACCATCCGTCTGGAGCAGTCAGCCGTTAGAAAAGGCCTTTCCTGAACTTTCTCCTGACAAAGAGAATAACTGGAAGTGGTCTCTTAATACAACCACCGGAGCCCCAGGAACCAAAGGAAATACACAAGGAAAATGCAAGTAAACACCTAGACCCTACCGCCTCGAGGCATCTGAGAAAGAGAAAAAGCTTGTGAGTTAGCCTTTCCAAGCCTTACCGTGCTCTGGGGGTCCAAGCAGTCATAGGGGGCCTCTGTAAAGACCCTGTACATCTCTTGAAATTCGTCGTACATTTGCTGGACCTGCCGACTCAGGGCACTCCCTCTGATGCCACTGAACTCAAGCTTTCCCAGCGTGTGGAAATCCAGGGTTGTCTTCAGAAGATCCTATAGGGCCAGTTCACAAAATAGTTAATAAGAACAGCAGCAGATAACACTCAGATTAGTATGGGAAGGGCTAGAAATCACGGGGAGCAGGGGTGGTTGCTTAGGAAAATAGGAAGGCTGATTAGTATCGTAGCCTTATTATTAGATCGGCTTGGTATAAATCACTATTGGCTAAACTCACAAAGCAAACAGGAGGCACAGGTAAACAAAATTCACACAGACAAGAAAAAAACCACATGTATATTTCAGCCTCTTTCCGGGTTCTCTAATAGATAACAAACTATAACAACATTATTTACGTGACTGGTGGGTTTACTTCTGGGTTTTTTTTTTAATTTTTTTTTTAGTGTTTTGTTTATTTTTGAGACAGAGAGAGACAGAGCGTGAGCAGGGGAGGGGCAGAGAGAGAGAGGGAGACAGAATCCAAAGCAGGCTCCAGGCTCCGAGCTGTCAGCACAGAGCCCGACGCAGGGCTCGAACCCATGAACTGTGAGATCATGACCTGAGCGGAAGTCAGACGCTCAACCGACTGAGCCACCCAGGCGCCCCTGATGTTTTTTTAAAAAATCCATGTCGGGGCACCTGGGTGGCTCCACCAGCTGAGTGTCTGGCTCTTGGTTTCAGCTCAGGGCGTGATCTCGTGGTTCATGAGTTCGAGCCTCGTGTCCGGCTCTGCTGACAGGGCAGAGCCGGCTTGGGATTCTCTCTCTCCCTCTGCTCCTGCCCACCCTCTCTCTCTCTCTCTCTCGCTCGCTCTCTCTCAATAATAAATAAACTTCAAAAAAATAAAAATAAATCCATTTCAAGGGAAACACGTTATCTGGCTCCAGAAGCACAGCTATCTTAAAGGATATTGACAGAAAACAGATCCTTCAAAAGGTCTCAAGGACAAGCCAAGAGGGAGACACCGATATTCTCAGCAACCACTCCTGCGGAGAGAAGGAATCTGCCATGTGGTCGGCTGGGCGACAGTGAGCAAGTTATTGGGCGTCTCTGTTGGGTTTCTTCATCTGCAACAGGATAATAATGGCGGGAGTGAAAGCAGTCCGGGTTGGCTTAGGGTTTAGGCCAGTGCTTGGCACACGGCAAGTACACAGTGCGTGCGTCTTGCTGTCACTGTTGTCATTGATATGGCAGTGCCCCAGCTGTGCTCAGAATTAAGTGACAGGTGGACAGCGCAGAGCCTCGGGGAGGAGCCCCTCCCAAGTCCACAGAAGCCCCTTCATCGGACGGGAGGCTTCAGAAGACACTACCGTGCCAGATTGTGTTTTTCCCTCGCACACGCTCATCTGAAGTCACAGAACCTGCAAACCCAGCCTTTCTTCCAATCTAGGCGCAGACCTCTTCCAACAGGAAAGAGGAGGGTAACTCTGACCTTTGGGTGCTTCTGGCAAACGCTGGAAGGGGGTCCTCCACCCTAAGGGAGATTGGAAGGCAGGTAGAGGGAACACCGTGTCACAACGCAGAAAACCCAGTGGGTCGAGTCCACTCCGGGAAATCCCCGCTGCCAATGGCCACTGCGATGGGTTGAGCCATCAGGCTGGCGAGAGGCTGCTCGACTCCCTTCTCTTCCTGGAACGCCATGTCCAAGGGCAGTGACAGAGACACCGGGAAGTGGTGAGACGGGACTGGTTTGCCCCACGTTGCCAGGAGGGCACCTGGCAGCCTGGGGCAGCCCATCTAACCCCCCCCCCCTCCACC